GTGTGTGTGTGTGTGTGTGTGTGTGTGTGTGTGTGTGTGTGTTTTGGAGAGAACATGCTTTTTTCTACGTAGACAACGTCTGACAGTCAGGAACGGTAGAACCAGCCCACTTGGTTGGACCTTTCTGTTGGACAATGCTAGAGGCTGATGCACTGCTGTGGAAACAAACCACAGGGCCAAGATCGCATCAGCTCTAAACATCCTCATGAAGGAGCTTGAAACAACTAATCTTGGTGGGAAGGGGGGATTGGGCAGTGCAGAGGAGGAGTGGAGGGCAGCAGAGGAATGAGTGAATAAATGAATGAAGAACTTTCCTTAAGCACTTCCTCCGTGGCCAGGCCTTAAGCTAGGCCCTTAGGATACAGACAAAAAAAAGCTTTGCTGGGCTCTCGAAGACTTTACCCTCCAAGTCGGAGCTGCAGGAGAGGTGAGGATTCAGGAGCAGCAGGGCAAATGGCAAGGCCTCAGACACAGCAAAGGGGGGAGCAGCCCACCGCCAACGAGCAGGCGGGGAACGGGCTGAGCGGGCCCTCCCAGGGTCGGAGCCAGGGAGAGGAAAAGGGAGGTGGGGCACTGAGAGGAAGGCCGAAGCTGGGATCTAGGGGGAGTAACAGCGATCGAGTCCATCTGGGTCTGGAGTGTGGTTCGGCTGGAGCAAAAAGAACATAGGATTGAGTGGTAGAAGGGACTCTAGACACTTGATTGAAACTGCGACCAGAGAGGGGAAGTGATGGAGAGAGAAGAGGAATGTCAAAGGGCTCCACAGAACTCCGGGTGGGGAGGGGACAGGCCAGAAGCATTTTGGTGGTCTAAAATTCACTGCTTCTTAGGAAGCCAAACGGGGAACTAAGAACGGGGAAAATTTTCTCCTGTAACAATTAAAGACAGCAGACACACAGACACACAGGCAGACACACAGACACATCCCGGCCCTGGTCACTACTAGGAATGTCACTAGGCTGATTATGATTATGGTAGAAGCTTTAAAGAGAGGGCAGCATCCTAACAGAGGGGGGATGGATTCTGAGGGCAGAGACAGACATGTTTTCTCAGACGTGGCTGATTTGGAAATTTGGTTTGCTGGACAACTTTTTTTTGTTTTTCTTTCTTTCTCAATATGGGGTGGTGTGGGAGGGAAAGAAGGAAGATTTTCATTGGTTAAAAAAAATAAAGAGAGGGCAGGCGAGCCTCACTTCTCTCTCTGCAAGAATTAAGGAGATATGGGACTGAACTTGCAGCAATAAATTTTACTTTTCCTAAACCCTACTGTGTTCTAGGCACACCAGCTTGCCTAGGTAGGGAGCACAGCGGTAAAAGTTAAAGCCTGGAGTCAGGAAGACTTGAGTTCCAATCTAACCTCAGACACTTAGTAGCTGTGTGACGCTAAGGAATTCACTTAACCTGCTTCTGCCAACTGTAAAATGCTGATAACAGCACCTACCTCCCAACGCTGCTGTGAATCGTAAATGTGATATTTGTAAAGAACTTAGCAGAGTGTCTGGCACAGAGCAGGCATGTAATAAATGTTTGCTGTCCTTCCTGGAGACATCTCTAGGTAACAGAGGAAAAGGAGATGTTCGGGGAGGGGGTTTTCTATTAACCTCAGCAGAAGAAAGAATTCTTTGTTTTGTTTTATTTATTTTATGGATGAGAAGGTGAGGAAATGCTACCATAGCTTAGCCAGGAAATATGCGCTATACCCATTGCCGCAATATGGGTACCATAGCGAGCATGCTCTGATAAACCATTCCAACCTCTAACATTCCCTTTCGAACTCGCTGCTCTCTTGGTAAGCAAAAGTAACAATTTTGTGTAACTATATGTCACCATCTTAGCACATAGTCAAGGGTGGGCAGGCAACAGCCCGAGGCTACTGTCTGTTTTTGTCTGGCCATGAGCTCAGAATGGTTTTTACATTTTACAATAAAGTTTTATTGTATTTAAAACTGTAAACCACCAGGTGGCAGGTGCGATTTGGCCCAGGGCCATGGTGTCCAGACCCCCCACATAAAAGACTGAAGTATACAGCAGCCAAGGGCCAAGAGCTAATGAGTGACCTTTCTTTACAGGTGTGTTAACAAGCCATTCTTAGAGAATTATTGTTCTTTCAATGTCTAGGCCACCTCAGTTTGGTGACTTTTAAAACTGATGACCATCAAGTAATTCTTTTTGGTGGTGTCTTTGGCCAAACCGAATAAATATGTCTCATCCTAGATCTGCAGGGCCAGTCGTTATCTGATGTCGGAAAAATAAAAGTCCGATGTTAATGCACACCTCCCTTCGGCTTTGCTGAATCGTGGTCTAACGGAGACCCTCAAACATCCCCCACAAATGAGGACCCTCTTCACCCTTTCTCATCCTCTCAATTCTCTTCCATGTCCTTCTACAGAATGTCCATCAGGATCCACCAAATCACCTGCGGGGAAGGTCTTGGCTCTCCATGGTACTAATGCCCAGTGACTGTTCTCCTTTCTGTTCTGTGACCAGCCCGTCTCCTCCCCTGCTTACACTCATTCGTGAGGACACCTTTTCCAAAGCTCTTCCCTGCCCCCCTCCCATCCCCCACCCTCCCCTGCCATCACAACACCCGTCAACATACACAAACCATCACAAGTTTTTAAAAAAATATCAAGATGAACAGAACCTCCTTGGCAATGTTTCAGATTGCTTTTTTTTTTTTATTAATACACTTTACATTAGACTTGAAATCTGCAGTTCCTGAATATTCCAGGTTTACAGTCTTCTGCAGTTTTAAGTCACGTCTAAAGAGGTACCTTTAAGTGAATGAATGATGCATTCTATACTTACTGAAAATATAATACAACAGTGAAATGGATTATTTAAATATAATTTATACACATACTGATTATGAAAATAGATCTCTTTCAATACAATATTCTACTTCTCTGTCTTAATAAAAAATGATAAAGCAAAGAAAATAATTCATTTTTGAAGTTGCTTTCCCTCAACTACAGAGGTCCGGATCTCCTCTCCTTATGCACACACTCTTTATCGTTAAGGAAAGCTTTGCATATGTAGAAAAGACTAGACAACATAAATATTGAACCCAAGTCCTTCCTCCTACAGGAGGTAAACATGTCAAATAGCTTACTGCCCAGAGGAGTCTTTCCTTCCGAGCCTTGAGAACGGGCCCTCTGCTCGGTCTTGGGAGAGCTAAAATTGGGACATGAAGTCATTTGCAAACAGGATGGGCCAGCTCTTTGCCAAGGAGAGCCACAGGTGCAGACTGACTGGCGTCACATCTGGGATCAGCCAGCTGCCAGTTTGGGGGGAGGTGATCAGAGTGTCAGTTTCAATCCTTGAGTCCCCGTTATAAAGTCTGAACTGCCATCACACTGTGTTGACTCCCAAGAACATAATTCTCACCTATTCATTCCTATTTCCCAACACTCATTGCAGCGGGTTTGGATCTGATTCGCCACACTCCTAAGTGGTGACTGTCCAGACTGATCAGCACCTGCAGTTAATGACGATTATTGATGCACCTTGATTTTTTTTGGTTATACAAGCATCTTTGTGTGCTTGACAGTATGAGATAACTGGGCCTGTGCAAATCAATTAACTGTCTGCTTTGGGGATGAGGGGAACCTGCTTGGAGCAAAAATCCTTTTCAACCAGGAATACATGGTTAAGTCGGAGCTACAGCTAATCCCCTGCTCTAAGAGAGAAGACGTTCTTCCTTCTGCGTCTTGAGCTAGTTTACTAGGAGTTCAGTTCTGGCACGTTTTAAAAGATGTCCACTCCATCCCATCACCTGAATTCGAAGATATATAATGAAGTTCCTCCCCACCACCCCCTCCCTCCCTGCCTCAGTTAGAACTGAGAATTTCTTTAGTTTAGCTGCTGTGTTGCTCGAAAAAAATAAACATTATGAAAATGTACCTGAAAAGAGAGGCTTAGGGAGCTCTGCTCCACCACATTCATATATTCTGATAATTTATACAGGCAATTAAAGTAACAGTAGCAACCCTAAAGCTAGCTGTAACCTCAATAACTTTTTCCCCCTAATTGCACAAACTTTTAACAGTTTAAATATCTATATTGCATCTAGAGATTCAATAAATAATTGCATATGTTGTGCTTTTCATAAATTAAAACCCTCAATGAATTTCAAACCAAGATGGTGTTTCCTTAACATGCCTATTTAAAAGCAAATATACTATTATATACTATTCCTGACTATAAGGCCAGGCAAAGTCTCCCAGCCCATTGGAAAGGCAGCAATATAATCTAATTTTCATTCAGCTATTAAGTCAATGCTTCCTCTTTACAACTTGAGGAAAAAAAAGTCAGAATTTTTTTTTCCTTAGGCACTACTGAGAATATACATTATTGTCTAACTGCTTTGTAATTCTTTTACAATGTTATTTCTTCTAGACTACTGAGTAGGTGGAGAAAAACGTGTCACAAGGAAAACATTTCGCATTTCCTCTTATTTGGGATAAGTCACCTAGCCTCTGGCCCCTCGAAGGGGCATCTTATCTGACGCTCTGGGACATGTGCAATGGGGTCAGCATCTCTTCAAAGATGGCGCCCTTGACATTGGAGCCTCTCAAGTTGGCTTCTTGGAGATCACAGCCCGAAAGGTCACAATTCTACAAGGTAACAACAAAACCTAATGAAAATCTGAAGAAAATAGATGAAACTTTAGTTGATATTATTCTATTACCAAACTTTGGTTGTTGTTATTATTATTACCACAAAAAAGAGAGCAGCCTCTATATCCCAGCTTAGAGCTTACAAAGCCCCATGATATAGATCAAACCAGTATCATTATCCTCATTTCACAAATAAACACACGGAGGCAGGTGACCCAGGGGATTAATGACTTGCCCAAGGTAACAAAGTGAATGCCAAAAGCAGGACTTGTGGACTAGTTTCCTTCTCACTCCATTACCTTCTCCATGTCCTGGGAAGCAAATGCCAACTTTAATGGAAGCTGCCCCCCCCCCAACCCAAGCCAAATTATTCTGTGGACTTGAGTCCTGCCCAAGGACTTTATGCTTCAGACTGTGGTTCCTGGTCACCACTCTGCCTGAGGCTTTGGTCGCTGATCACAGGAACCCCAATAGTGAAAGAGGAAGGGTTTGGCAGTGGTGATGGTTGCTTTAAAATAAGATGGTAACAAACCCTTCTAATTTAATTGCAAACCCCTAAACAATTTTTTTTGGGCCATGATTAATCTTAAAACAATCAGGGAAAAACAATGTTTTTACATGTATAAAGTAACATGAGATTACAAAGGAAACTCATTCTATTGAAATGAAGATCTCGTTTCTTATCCCATCCAAGTTCATGGACCCCAAGTTAAGAACCCCTGACACTGTGAAGGAAGGCATGCCAGTGGCTGCTACCCTACCACCAACCAGGTCACTTTCCAAGATCAAATGACTGTGGGATTCCTGTTCTATGGACATCTACATGGCAAGGGGCCTAAGATGCCTAATGAGCTCGGGGCAGGAGGCAAATATGAATTTAAAATAAAAATTGGAAGCCTATGTCACAACTAGAACCTATCACTGAGCCCAGGCCTCTTTTTAAAGCTTGAATGATCTACTGCCCACCAAAGTTACAAACTAAAATCTTCCATCTGGTCAACTTTTAGATACCAGGGACTCTCATGAAGGTCAAACTAAGCTTAGTAGGCAGCACCTCTCTGCGTCCGTGCAAGTCAGGCCTGGTAACACTGAGCTGGTATCCAAGTCACTGAGTCTTGGGGGTTACACTTCTCACTGTCAGCTTAACGTACAGATGAAGAAGCCATACACTAGATGGTTTTTTGTTTTGTTTTGTTTTGTTTTTGTTAGGCAATGAGGTTAAGTGACTTGCCCAGAGTCACACAGCTAGTAAGTGTCATGTGTCTGAGGCCAGATTTGAACTCAGGTCCTCCTGATTCCAGGGCTGGTGCTCTATCTAATGTGCCACCTAGCTGCCCCATACTAGATGTTTTAAGATGACTGATTAAAGGTAAGAGTGTCAGCTTGGCATTGGAGTCAAGTCTGGATATGAAGATGAATTACCAGAGATTTATCCCGAATCTGAAGCTGAACACAGATGTCACTGAAATGTCTTAAGTTAGCTTATAGAATCTAGTCCTGTGGTAGAAATAACATTAAGAAAATTAAAAAATTTGGGAACACTATAGCTCCTATTCAGGTCACATGTATGAAGGCCTCAGGGAAAACAGGAAAAAGAATGAAGCATTTTCAAATTAGTAATACTATACATATATGTATATTGTATACATACATACACACGTATACATACATATATGTAAATATATGTATATATACACATATGTAAATATACACACATATGCATATATCTATAGTTATATCTACATATATATTCCAGAACTAACATCTGCTTTGTAAAACATGTTTTAAAAAAATAAAGAATTATTCCTCCTACTTCTCTGCAGGTGTAGGACCATAGATGTACAATAATGAATATAATGTTAGAATTCTTCAACAAATGGGTCAATTTTGTTGACTTTTTTCCCTTTTTTCTCTCTGGGAGGGGAAGAGGGAAAGGACACGATGGGAAATGTAGGTGATATAAAACAAACTATTTTTATTACTAAAAACAAAAAAAACAACTCAAATGAAAATTTTCTTTTTAGTTGTGCCAGCAAATTACTCGACACTACATACCCACCCAACTCTCTTGTTCAATAATTGGATAGCAAAATACTGATGGCCAACTCACCTCTAAATCCGTCCCTGCTAGAGTTGCTCCTCGAAGGTTACAGTTCTTCAATTTTGCATTTTTTAATGTAGCAACTCGAAGGTTGATCCCTGTCATTTGACTTCCTTCCATATCCACGCCTTTCAAATTAGCACCTAGGGAGAGGGATGATATTTTGAGAATGGTTTCTATCAACACTTGACTCCCACCTCCCAAAACCACACAGGGATTTGCCAATTTGTAAATTCGAGTGGACAAGAAGATAAAAACCTTTCTATAAATTAAAGCGTAACTTTAGTAAATGCAAATAATTACCTAAGTACGAAAGGCCAAACTTAATACTTAAACAATCAGGTAAAAATCAATGTTTTTATATGCATAAAATAAAATAAAATACATGAGATTACAAAGGATGCTATTTTATTAACATTCCAGATTAAAATGATAGATAAGGTCCACTTTTTTGAACTACTGGAGCACACCTGAAAATATCTAATTGAATAACAAACTAATAAAAAATCTTTCTAAAGGTTTGTGAGCTTGGGACATAAAATAAGCAGTATACTTGTCAATTAGGCCTAAATGAGACTTTTGGAATATAATTGTGATACATTTCCTCTTATTCGTGACTTTCAGTGGGTAATTACCTTGGTGTGGAGACATACAGAAACAAAAGGTGACTCGTTCATCAACAGCGAAGATTCTTATAATACTTCTTATGAAGAAGTATTAAGTTTTGTTTTTAAAATGGAAGCTACCCAAAACTAAAACCTTGTTGAATAGAGTTCCTCTCAGCTGTTAAGCATTAGAGTGAAGGAGGAAGGAAATTATGTACTTAGTTGCTAAGCACCTACTGTGTGCCAAGCAAGTGCTAAGCACTTTACAATAATTATCTCATTTGATCCTCATAGCAACCCTGGGAAGTAAGTGCTATTGTTATCCCCATTTTACAGATGAGGAAACTGAGACAAACTGAAGTGAAGTGACTTTCCCAGGCTCATACAGGTAGGAAGTGTCTGAGATTGGATATGAACTCAGTTCTTCCTGACTCCAGGCCCAGGGCTCTATCCACTGAACTACCTAGCCGCCTCTACTCTGATGCACATATTTGCATGCATGCCTGGTATCCTCCATTGCGGTAAGAGTATTTTGAAATGAAACCTTACCTTCCAAGTTGGCTTTAAGGCCTGAAGGATCCTCAAAGTTACATAACTTCAGAGATGCCCCTTCTGCGTTAGAACAAAGCATTTTCACTCCCTGCAGGTTTGCACACTGTCAAAAGAAAGGAAAATGCCCATACTCTAAGGAGATTGGAGTTTAAATTAGAAGAGAACAGTATGGCTCAAGTAGAAGAAAACCAATTCATGCTACAAATCAACCCAACACATCTGGCTGATTCAGCCCTTTCCAGTTTGCAAATGCTTTTCTCATAATTCCCTCTGTGCTGCTTGGGAAGAACAAGCATCACCAAAACAGCCCTTTCCAGGCTTGGAGCCCAAGGGACCGAGACATTCAGGCACCTGTGCAAAGGCCCACCCAGAAGGGGCCGAACCAGCACTTGAACCCGTGTGTGAGAAGCAAGTCTTCTTCCCATTCGGCCCACACTGCCTTGGATGCAAATGAGCACAGAGGACATCAGTTCTGTTCTCCTAGTAATAAACACTTAAGGAAGTTAGTAAACTAGCAACAGAATGCACACTACTGACGTCAAAAACAGGGTCTCAGATGAAACAGATCAGAAGTGTCAAAGCCAAGGAACGTGGCAAAGTTTTGTACCTCGCAGTGGGCCAGTCACAATTTGTGAGCGTGAAAGGGAGATGCCCGGATTTACTGATACTACTCAGTACAGCCAGCACCAATAAAATGGGCATGGTCCTCCAAAGCTGTGATCATTCCTAACTTTAGAAAGCCCATTAATGAACCCAGCAGCAGCAGAGTCCTCTCCTGCCCTCCACTGCTGACCAGATGCTAGTACAAGTCCTTCTGCAACAGTGACTACTACAGGATATTTTCAAAATGCGAATTCACAGCACAACTTTAGCAAATATGACCTTTGTCATACAGAGACAGAGGAGAAACCTAAGAACACTTAAATCCTAGTAGGCCTGGAATTTAAGAATGAAATACATTTCTGCCTCAATGCCAGCAGCAGTTTTGCGCCTGGTAGCCTGACGTCATTCATTGCATAACCACAGCCAGCTCAGAGTTTTGTAAGATAGGGACATGTTGGACTTGGGGTATCAGCATCTCCAGCAGGATATTCCAGTAGCACCTCAAACTCAATACCTTCAAAACTGAGCCCATCAGAACCCAATCTGGGTTGGGTTTCCAATCCAAACTTTTTCTTCTTTTTTTCTTTTCTTTCCCACCCCACCCCACCCCACTTCAATATCTCAACTGACTGAAAATGGGTGAACTTCCCACTTCAACCGAAAAGACTGAAGGCATCTACCAGGAGCTACCTCAGCCCCACCTCGGGCACTCCTCGGAACTTCTCAGTGTTATAATAATACAAGCTCTCCTCCCGCCCTCTTGCTGCAGAAGACATCTTCCGACTCTTCCCTAAGGCTAATCTCTACAGCTGCACTAATGATCGAATCTTCTCCAAACAGCAACCCCCTCATCACGCAAGCTTCATTTCTTCCTCTCCCATTGGCACCTTCCCAGCCACCTACAAACACACTCAAGACTCCCTGATCTTTCCCTAAATTCTTCCCTTAACTCTATCATACCTCCTAGCTAGTCACGAATTTCTTTCCTACCCTCCATGGCTAAAATTCTTAGAGAGCATTTTAGGTCCGATGACTGCAATGCCTCACACGACATTCCGCCCTCAACCCTTTGCAACCTGCCCTCCTCTCTTATAACACTAATTCAGTTCTGTAAAAGGCCCGATGACCTCATAACCAAGCCCAACAGTCTTCATTCAGTCCTCACCCTCTTGAACCCTCCAGATGCTGACACTGCTGCCCTCTCCCTCCTGCTGTTTACTACCTCTTGTTTTGGCTACAGAGATACCATTCTCCCAGTTCTCCTCCTACTTCCCTAACTCAGTCTTCCTTTCTTGAGATTTGATTTTAATGTTGCTCAAAGGTGCGCCCTTGGTCCTTCAATCTTCTCTGAGCTACGCTGTCTCCCTTCACAAAATCATGGCTTTACCTGCCACCCCTCTTCAGGGGATCTCCATTGCATTTCTCAGCTCTAGTCCTACACTCCTCCCAGAGCACGGCAGCTCAGAAGCAACATGTCCAAAACGGAGGTTATGAGCTTCTGCCCTTAACCTGCTCCTCCTTCTGACTTGATTTACTCCATCTGGGCACCACCATTCACCCTGTGTCCAGTACTCAATCCCTTACTGTGGTTTGTTGCTGCGTCTTGTGTCCACTCCCCCTATTTTAACCTTGCTGCCACTGATCTAAAATAGGCCATCCTTGAGAATCTCAGGGAGGTTAAAGAAATAGGCCTCTAATAGGTCTTCCCACATCCACTTCTAATACCATCCTCCCCTCCCCCCACCCCCCATAATCCATCTGTAAGACCACAGCCAGAATATTTTCTTCTTAGTCTTTGATCCGGTCATGTCACCCCTGTGCTCAAAAATCAAGAAGTCACATCTACAGCTTCAAACTCCTTGGCTTGTCATTCAAGGCTCTTTACAGTCTGGCACCATTTGACCTTGCCAGCATTAGCTCACATTATTTCCCTATGTACAATCTTTCCCAAGATGCCTCCATTCTGGCCATCATTCTCATTGCCCCCCACCCCCCACCCCTTATATAATCTCAGAGTCAATCCCTGGGTCCTCCAGTTCTGATGAGTGACCTTTTGCCTTAGTTTGCTGTGAACCAAGCCTCTTAGCCATCTCTGAACTCTCTGTCCCCTTTCCCCTTTTAGCCCTTCCCCCATTAGATGCTACGCTTTGAGAGGGCAGGGAACATCTCATTTGCTTTTATTTATGTTCATATATATAAACACACACACACACACACACACTCATCTCTCCACCCTCAAAATGCTGACAATGTACTATTTCTATAGTTTTTTCCAATTCAGCCCTTCTATTGATCATAAAAATGGACAACATGATAAATAAAGGACATGATAATGTGGCAAGCATGCCCATTTCCCACCATTAATTGCCTTACTAGTTATAAGAGTTGCTAAAATTGTGAGGTGTATGTTTAGCACAGGTACCAATTAAAATAATAAATCAGCAGCTTTCACTAGAGTAGTCATCATTTTTATAAGTCTTTCCTTCATAGAAAAATCATACATGATGGATGTGATTACCTCCTGGAGGTCAGGTACTACTCCATTTCTTTCTTCACACCTCTAGTGCCTGATACATAGCGGACACTTAACGGCTGCCTACTGACTGATGGATTCCTACTCACTGGTCTTCGGATCTGACACAATAACAAGTTAACAAGGATTTATAAAGTACCTACTATGTGTCAGGCACTGTGCAAAGTGCCGAAGATACAATAAAAGGCACAAAACAGATCTTGCTCTCAAAGAGTGCACAGTCTAATGGGAGAGACAACGTGCAAACAACTATGGACCCAAAAGCCATATCCAGGAGAGTCTGGAGATAATTTCAGAGGGAGGGCACTAAAATCGAGGCCTGAGAAAGGCCTCCTGAAGAGCCTTGAAGGAAGCCAGGGAAGCTGGGAGGGAGAGATGAGGGGAAAGAGTTCCATGCCTGGGGGACTGACAGCGAAAATGTCCCAAATCCCAGTTTTAATGAGTGAAATTGTTCTTACATCAAGCACTGATCCGGAGAGATCAGCTCGTTCAAGATTTGCACAGCAAAGATTAGCATGTGCAAGGTTGCAGCGACTTAAATTGGCCATTTTGAAGTTTATGTATCGAAGGTCCAAACGAGAAAGATCAGCACCACTGAAGTTTAGACCCTAAAAGAAACACAAATAAACTCTCACGAGTCAAAGTGAACATCCCATTTAACTTGCATTTAACTTTCCATTTGGAAGCCACAAATACACCCTACAGACATCGTGCCATGCTGATTCTGAGGATGAGCGAAGGAAGCAGTTTAGAAACTACTACAGAAAGTAGTTACTCTAGTAAAATGGCAACATATTCAACAACTGCCTCTCTGCTGCTCTTAATTAAGAATGAAGGCTTTTAAGTTACAACAGAAATTGCTTTTAAGTATTTGTCAATTCAGTGAATGGCAAAGAAGGTTTGTAACAAAAAAGAACCTTATATGTCTGCTCCGACCAATGTTATGACAAAAAAGGAACAGCTGTACAATATGGTGGCCCAAGCAACCTTAACCAACAGTTGGGGGGCCTGCTCTTCATTGGTGTGTTTGGCACTGATGAATAAACTGCATAATGTAGTAATTCAAGCACTTTTGTAAAAAGTAAAAAAAGGGAACCACTGTTTAGGATGAAAATGCTGCTATGTTTTAAGATTTTTAACCTGTGTTCAAAAGGAAATTAAACAAAATGAAAGGAAAAACAACACACAAGGCTCAATACAACTGTTTTCTAAAAACATTCTGTCGAATGACGGATAACTTTGCTGTTTGGAGCAAATGGCTGATGGAAAAGGCTGCCTTGAATACCTGGCAACGCAATTCTGACTTGGTTGGCGTGGCTAGTAGAAACCGAACAAACTCCTTTCGAGAGATTGGAGAATGGTCTTCTGGTGGTTGAGAATTCTTTAGAAAGAAAACAGGAATATGTCAGTCTTTTTTGAGCTAGCTATGATACTGTAACGGTGCTCTAAATTCTAATATATTATAAGTAAATATTAAAAAGTACCTTTATTGCCACTTCAAGATGTTCAATCAACGAGTCAATACCAAAAAATCTGGCTTCTTCTAACACGCCTACCAAAGCAACAACAAAAAATTGGTGTTGGAAAAAAAAAAAGTAGCAGTCTCCATTTATCTTTGATCCTTCATTTAATGCAGGATTTGTTAAAGGACATAATGTCCAGCAAGCAGATTACTACTCAACATAGAAGATAAATTAGTAATGTTCTACATATCCCCAAAATGAAATACTCAAAAAGAGAGAATGAATCTTTGAAATGGTTTTTACTTGGTACAAGGAAAAAATGAAGCCAAATGATTACTAGACTGGATTTAAATATATACTTCAAACATATCTCTGATCACTTCTGTAACTATTAAGCCAGAGGAAAGAAATCCTCATTAACAAATATGGGTAGAATTATATTAATTGCTTGCCTGGAATTCTAAGAAAAACATTCAATTCACATAAAATCCTAAAACTCCATTCACCTTCAAACTAGAACAGAGATGAATAAAGTTTATAAAAAAGTTTCTCCCCTACTTGTTAGACGTTTTTTGAGATAATAATAAAATGGATTTGAATTGTGACACCTCTCAGAATGGTCAAATGCATGTCGCTTTATCATCTGCTTTTCTTAAATTGCTACAAATTATTTGAATCTCTTTGAAATGATTTAGGAAGTTTATTTCCTTATTTAACAACCCCTTATCATAGCATGGAAATGAACTGGAGCTCCGTGACCTTCCAGTCAGTCAGTACTGTATGAATTTCCTCCCTCAATCTCTTCCATTATCCATCTCACATGAAGAGGTGGCCTTTCTCCCAGTGAAGTCAAATGCCTCGATGGGCAGCCGTGATCCCATGGCTTTCTGCCTTCTCCGGCAGATTTCCCCCTCTGCCATCTCTTCTCACTAATATTCCGTCTCTATCACCTGGCTGCTCCCTTGCTGCCTAGAATGATGCCCGTATCTCCATCCCCACTAGTTATTATCCTCAATTTCTCCTCTCTTTTACAGCAAAGCAATCTATGATCTCTGCATCCACTTTCTTTCCTCTCACTTTTTTTTAAACCCTCTGCAGTCTGGCAGCTGACCTCCTCATTCACTGGACTGCTCCTACCAAAGTTACCAGCGATCTGTTAACTGCCAAATCGAATGGCCTTTTTTCAATCCTCATCCTTCGTGGTCTCTGCTACCTTTGACAGTGTTGATCACCTTCTTCTCCTTGACACTCTCTTCTCTCTAGGTTTTCAAGACGTTGCGCCCCCTGCTCTCCTTTCAGTCTGCCTGATGGTTGCTCCTCAATCTACACTGCTAGATCTTCATCCAGATGACGGTCACCACCTCTGGAAGTTCCTCGGGGCTCTGGCCTGAGTCCTCTTCTCTTCTCCCTCTTTGCTATTTCACTTAGTGATCTCATCAGCTCCACAGATTCAATGATCACTCTCAGTAGACCATTCTTAGAGCTGTTTATCTAGCCCTTTCCTATTTCCTCCTGTCTCACATCATTAACTGCCTCTTGGGTACCTACACTGGACATCTTAAAGATATCTTAAATTCAACAAGTCCAAAACCAAATTCATTATCTTTCCTTCCAAACCCTCCTTTCTTCTTCATTTCTGTCCTTTCAAGGCACCACCATCCTCTCAGGCTTGCAATGTCGGGGTCACTTGACTCCTCCCTTTCTCTCACTCCTCACGTCCAAACTGTAGCAAAGTCCGCCATTTTCACCTTGGTCCCGCCTCTTGCACAGGCCCCCCTTCTCTCCTCTGGCACTTCCAGCCCCTTGGTGCAGGCCCTCACCACCTCACACCTGGACCACTGAGACAGTTTCCTGCTTCAAGTCTCTCCCCATACCAGGTCATCTTCCACTCAGCCACCAAGATCTTCCAAGTCTGACCATGTTCTCTCCCTTTCTCAAGAGTCAGTAAGTAAATAAACACTTATCAAGTGCCAACTCTGTGCCAGGCACTGTGCTAAGTGCTGAGAATACAAAGAAAGGCTCTAGACAGTTTGTGCTCTTGAGGGGCTCACAATCTAACAGGGGAGACAACATGCAAACAGCTCTGTATGGGCAAGTTATAGGCAGGATAGAGAGCATCGTTTGAGGAAGGGAAAAGTCCATGTTAACATATCATGGACTACTTGGGAAGGGCTGTGTGTCGGGAGGCAGCTTATCAAATGCTTTGTATTTGATCTTGGAGGCAACAGGAAGCAACTGGAGTTTACTGAAGAGGAGGGGCGTGCATGTGACATCTTCCTATGCTTTAAAGAGACCACTCTGACAGCCCAGTGAAGAACAGTCTGGAATGGGGACAGACTTGTGGCATGTAGACCCAGTAGCAGCCACTGCAGTAGTCCAGGCATGATGGGATGAGGGTGTGCCCTAGGGCAGGATGGGAGGTGAGAAGGGAGTACCATGAGAGAGATATTACAAAGGTAAAACCAAAAGGCCTAGGTCACAGATTGGATGTGGGTGATGGGACACTGAGGCAGCAAGGATGACCCTTAGGCCTTGAGGCTGCGTGACTGGGAAGTCAGTGGTGCCCTCCATGGTAATAAAGAAGTGAGGAAGAGTATAGGGTTTGGGGATAGGGATGATGAGTTCAGTGTGAGATATCCAACAGGCAGCTGGAGATGTGAGAGTGGAGGTCAGCAGAAAGGTCACAGCTGGATATGGAGATCTATTGAATTCTTGGGAACTAATGAGAGCACCAAGAAGAGAAAGGGGCCCAGGATAGAGCCCTGTAAGTAACAGGGTTGGCAGGCATGACCTAGATGTAGAAGCAGTAAAGCAGGAGCAGTCAGATAGGTAGGACAATCAGCAGGAGTTAAGTACCATGAAAACCTAAAGAGTGTAGAGTACGGTGGAGAAGAGGGCAACTGACAATGTCAAAGGCCCAAAGAGGTCAAGAAGGACGAGGATTGAGAAAAGGCCATTAGATTTAAGATTTCTATTACGTCCTCAGGAGCAAATATAAAATCCTCTTTTTGGCCTTTAAAACTCTTCCAAACAGGGTCCCTCTTCCTACCTTCCCAGGCTTCCGAAACTTTCCTCCCCTCCATGAATATCTAGCAACACCAAATGTCTGGTGATTCCTTGTAGACAACAGAATGGCTGGCCCCCACGCCCTCCCTCACTTCAGCCAGCTGGCTGCCTTCAAGATTCAGCTTGAATCCCTCCTTCCCTCTGAGATTACGTCTCTAGTCATCCTGATCGATATCTGGCCACTGGACCCAGATGGCTCTGGAGAACGTGAGGCTGCCGACTTTGCCCAGTGTTCCCTCACTTAAATCCAATTCTCTTGCATGTCATGGCATCACCTCCCCAATGTCATGGTCCTTTGGAGAACAAAGGACAAACAACAACCACCATCTTCCATTTACACAGGTTATAGCTAGTAGAATTGTTTGCATATTTCCTCCCCTATAAGAATATGACCTCCTTGAGGGCAAGGACAGTGCTTTTTTGCCTCTTGGTATCCTGAGTGCTTTGCACGGGGCCTTACAACAGTCAGCACCAAATAAATACTTGTTGACTTGATCTGCCAGTGATATTTGTTTCTGAAGGATTGTCAGACTATAGACTATTTTCCTGTTTATACTAATTGGACCTATCTTGAGGGGAGAATACGGCAAATAAATGCATCTGTACCTTGTTTTATACAACAGAGATGTTCATGAAAAGCCTTTTTTGGAAACTGAATCATATATGACCACTTGCTAATTTATCCTTTGTTTAAATGGGAAAGAATAATCACTGGGCTGGTAGCAAGGTGATGAGAATTAGGAGGGCTCCTGGAATGAAGGCCGCCTGCAAATGAACTCACCTGATTGATCTTGTAGGCTTTAAAGTTGGAGATT